TGCATTAGTTAATGGTATACAATTAACTACTCATGCATTGGCTAGTTTTACTAGGTACTAATAATAGTAATAGTATGATGTGGAATAATACTCTAACCTCAGGAATGAACTAGCTGATGCATTAAGGAAAGGTCCTTATCAAGTTAATATGTTAATTGGTGGATATGATGATAAAGATGGAAGTAATAATTAGTATTATTATATATTAGTTGATGATAATCCAATTCCTACTTCTAATAGGTGCATCCCTATATTATATGGATTATCTAGCATCTTGTCAGAAGATAACACGTGGTGCACATGGTTATGCGGCATATTTCGTATTAGGCTTATTGGATAAACTCTACAAGAAGGTAGTCATCACCCTACTACTACTAGAAAGGATATTATTGGGTTTAGGATATGACCCAAGAAGAAGGTCTTGATGCCATAAACCAGTGTATTAAGGTAATAGTAGTATTAGTTGATATACTCATAACATCATCATCATCATCATCATCATATTCATTTAGGAGTGTAAGAAAAGGTTTATCATTGACAAAAGTAATTTCGTCATCAAAGCTGTGAACAAGGTAACTATAGAGGTCCTATCATAAATATTATACTTTATTACTATTACTGTTAGGATGGTATTCGTCTTATATCATCTTATTAACGATGATGATGATAATAATAGAGATGAATGATAAATACAACATTAAACGCCCTTTTCTCATTCTTCTTATTGGTAGAAGACTTGTGTTATCAGGTTGTTCATTCTTATTACTCCTTATATTCTTTTCAGAGTTGCTTATAATAGGTAGTACGATATTATGATATTCATAATATTCGGTAATGCGGTTGTTTATCATAGTGATGATAGTCAATACATACTTTTAACCACATCTAAGCATAGCACGATCATCATCATCATCATCATCATCATCATAAACTTGTTATTATTATGCCTCTTTTTGTTGCATCCGTGTAAGAATTCAAGTATCCACAACCATCGTCATCGTCATCATCATCATCAATAGGATGATGATTTACAACCTCCCCATACACGGTAATGCATAATAATAATAATTATCATTCTGTCCAAGAATATCACAGACATAAGCTCCTCCTCCTGCTGCTATTGTTGTCGCTGCTGCTCCTGCTGCTGTTGTCGCTGCTGCTGCTGGTCGTCGGCATCGTCATCGTCGTTGTTGTTGTTGTTGTTGTTGTTGTTGTTGTTGTTGTTGTTGTTGTTGTTGTTGTTGTTGTG